CTTTTGTTCCTCTGGCACCAAAATGTCCAGTCTTTCTCCTAGTCTGTGGGAAATGGAAGTCTGGCCTCTTTGTGCACTGCGAACTCCTTGTCATATCACGTGGTTGTAACTCTGGAACTTTGCAGGAACGGAGCTTCTTGCGTTTGATTTTTTTAATTTATGGCAAAGAGATGAACTCAACTAAGTGCTTGTACCTAGTACTCCTTCTGAAAGAATCTTGGCTGGCCAGGGCCGGACCTTTCTCTGCTTCACTTGGAATTTGTTTTGCTGGCTTTACGAGAACATTTGGAGGTTGTTTCCTTTTCTTTTGCGATGCCTCCCCTTTCTTCTTGTTGGCTTCTACTTTAGCTCTTTTCTGGCATTTATCTGGGGTGAAAGTTCCCAATCTTTTATTCTCTGGGATGACCTGTTATGAAGTTTCTTGCAGTGCTATTACTTGGTTCACTTCCAGGTTCTTGGAAAAGATCCTTTAGCACTTGAAAATCACTTCATTCATAGTATGGCTTAACTTGATCAATATTTGCCACATTTTGTTGTCTATTTTTATCCTTTATATATAAAGTGTTATATTTTATTCTCTCTATCATGAATTGTCCTTCAAATTTTTCAGCAAACTTTGTAATTTTATTACCAGGAGCAGTGGATAATGCAGTTTTATTATTAATACTTTTTAACCTACATTGTATTCCATCTCCCTTCTCTTTTGATCGTGCTAAATTTTCTGCTTGGTAATTCCCTGGCAATATCTGAACTTTTAATTGCCTGATTATTTGTTGGATATCTCTCAGTTTGAACTCTGTCTCTCTTTGTTGCACAAAAAATAATTTGTCCAATAAAGTTGATTTTTCTATCTAAAAATAATTCAGCGTGGTCTTGCCCGTATTATCATGTTTTGCTGTTCTCAGTGCAAAAGTTAATCCATTGATGTAGCCTTTTCAGCAACTATGATAATTCTCTACATAACTTTGAATAATTTTTAACTATATTTTTATTTACTCATTCTGCTATGTTAGTCTGTGGACAATACAAAACCATCTTTAAATGCCATATGTCTGTGCATAAGTTTACAAGGATCTGATGAATTGTTTGCCATTATCAGAAATTACTTTTACTGGTGCCCCGTACTTTAATATATATTTATTTAAAAATGAGTTAGACACAGTTTTTGCGGAGGTTCTTTTGAGGGAAACTATCTCCACCCATTTAAAAAAATGGTGCATGATAATCGAGATAGCTATTTTTATTTATTTGAATTCAAGGTAAGGACCCAACAAGTCATTACCTACGAATTCATTAGGAAAGGTAGTTTTGATACTGTTTAGATACCTGGCCAGGCTATGGTTAATGTTAAGCTAAGGACCCAACAAGTCATTACCTACGAATTCATTAGGAAAGGTAGTTTTGATACTGTTTAGATACCTGGCCAGGCTATGGTTAATGTCATTAATTAATTTACACATATAACAGGACCTGACATAGGCACTTACAACTTTCTGTAATTGCAGAAGGTAAACCGCCTTGCAGATTCTGAACCATTTTTCTGATTCCAAGGTGGCCTGAAATAGGCGAATCATGTAACTTATGTAGAATACTTAAGCTAGTTGGGAGAAACTGGTCTGAATTCATAATTTTCATAATTGCCATCATATGGAATAATAATTTATCGATAATTTGATAATGTGCTGCTCTGTTTCTTATTGCATTAATGTCCACATGTTCAAAATTTTGTGGATCTTTAAGCATAGATGTTTTTAAACTCTCGATCTGCTTTCAATTCAAAAATAACTGTGTTGAAATCAGTTATTTGTGAGGTTAACATAGGACATTTAACCGTGTTCTCCTCCTCATCTAGCTAAATTCTTGATAGTATATCAGCAACGACATTTTCTTTTCTTGGCGTATGTTTAATAATGAGATTATATTCTTGTAATTTAAGAGTCCATCGTATGAGCTTTGGCGATAAATTTTTGCCTAAATACAAATATCTGATGGCAGCATGGTCTCAATAAATGTTGTTGAAGGCATTTCCAAAATACACTCAGAATTTTTAAACTGCTGATAGAATGGCTAGAGTTTCTCGTTCTGTTGCGGTGTAGTTCCTTTGAATTGGGTTCAATGTAAGCTACTGGCGGCCGTTTTGAGATAGAATGGCACCAGCTGCATAGTCCAAAGCATCAGCAGCAATTTCCAAGTTCTGATCCCCTTCCGAGAATTCCAGTATTGGAGCACTGGTTAATGCTTGCTTCAGTTGCTCAAATGCCGTGTTCACTTCTGCAGTCCATGTATTTTTTTTTTTTTTTTTTTTTTTTTACCTTTTCAAAACCAGTAATAGTTGAACAAACAATAAAATGAGTACATGCTCAAAAATGATGCTACTTCTTTTGCTGTGTTTGGAGGCAGATAATGTTTTTTATGCCTTTTTGTGAAATTTTGTACTTAAGATACTGATGTTCCTTTGCGGTAAACCTGCATTTCAAGGCATTTGCTTTGAGTCTAATTTCATTTAATAAAGAAAATACTTCATCTAGATGTTGAACATGTTGGTCAATTTTTTGCATGGCAATAATGATATTGTCGAGATGTACATAGGCTGTTCTATAAGACTAATTTTACTGCAACGAAACCATTCATCGAAATGTTAATTTCTGGGGCATAAAAAAAGTCTGTCATCTGTATTAACAAAAGCTACCGATAAATGGCGTGTAAATGCTCGTGTTCCTGAATATCACGTGATTGACCTGAAGCGTGTTTGCGGGAGCCTATAATACGTGGCCAGTTGTCAAAATGGAAGCATCGATAGAATAACGTTATGTGATTAAATTGATTAAATTTTGTGTTCGTCTGCAAAAATCAGCATCAGAGACCTTGGACATGATACGTGAAGCTTTTAATGATGAAGCATTAGCGAGGGCAAGTGTTTTTCACTGGCATAAAGCTTTTAAGGAAGGCAGGCAAAATGTGGAAGATATTGAACGACCTTCAACGTCTGTCATGTAAATTTTCAACATCAAAGTAGACAAAGATGGATGCTTCCATTCACTACTTTGTTGTTTCACAGTTGGGTCATAGTGATACAACCAAGCTTCATCTGCTGTGATGATGCGTTTTAAGAAATTGTCGCCTTCTTGTTCCAGTCTTCAATGTCTGTCACAGAGACAATGATTAACACAGCTGCGATTCTCCTTTGCGGTTATCATTAAGGAGAACCGCAGAATTACAGTACGTCAGCTGCATACTCTCTTGAATATTTCTGAAGAAAGTGTTCACTTAATCATGGCAGAACATTTGCAACTGAAACGTGTTTGTGTGCGAAGGATTCCAAAATTGTTGACACCTGAGTGCACAGAATGTAAAGAAAGACTGGAACAAGAAGGCAACAATTTCTTAAAGCATATCATCACAGCAGATGAAGCTTGGTTGTATCGCTATGACCCAACTGTGAAACAACAAAGTAGTGAATGGAAGCATCCATCTTCGCCTACTCCCAAGAAAGCTAAAACTGTGAAATTCGCTGGGAAAGTTATGAACATAATTTTTTTTATTATGAAGGAATTGTGTATTTACACACTGTCGAGCCCGGCAATGCCATAAACAGCTCGTACTACGCTAATGTCCTACGAATAGTGGTACAGCATGGTCAAAGGAAATGTCCATTGCTCCGAAATGAGCTTCCTATTGCATCATGGCAATGCTCGACCACATATTGTTCGTTGCGCACAGGATGTTTTGCAGCATAACAACATAGAGATTTTATCGCACCCTCCCTACAGTCCTGATCTCGCTCCATGTGATTTCTGGCTGTTTCCTGAACTTAAGAAACCATTATGAGGCAAACATTTTGTAAGCAACAAAGAATGTTTAAAGGCTGCGGAGGCAGTTTTGAAAAAGCTCTCAAAAAACAGACTTTTACATGTTTTTCAGAAGTGGACCGAACGTTGGGATAAATGCATTGCGTGCCATGGTAGTTATTTTGAAAAAGACCATGTAAATGATGACGATTAAAGGTATTCTGTATTTTTTATAATTTTGGTCTTATTGAACAGCCCTTTTATAAAAGTACTTTTTCCTAGTATGGACCTTATCACAGTACCCATCATATGTTGAAATGTTGCTGGTGCCTGTTATAGGCTGGACCTTATCACAGTACCCATCATATGTTGAAATGTTGCTGGTGCCTGTTATAGGCTGAACGGCATTCAGGGATATTTTAATAAGTTTTTGTACATTTACCTTAGACTAAATAGTTCTGCTCTTAATAGTGCTCATAAATGTACAATTTTTCGTTTTACAAATACCTTTATAAATTTAAATTTAAGAAAATAACTTAATTTTCATTTAAGAATCAGAACTGTGAAAATATTTTGCGTAAAATTCAGTTTGTTATTATACCTATTTAAATGTTCAAAGAGACTAATTATGGCAGATTCCTTGTCTTTCTTTCCCCATTTCAAGGGTAATGTTATTGCTTTTCACATTCTTAATTTCTGCTTAATCTTCTTTCTTTTCCTAGTTAATGTTGTTCTATTTTCATTCTAAATCTTATATTCAGCTTTATTTATTTTGATGTTATTTTTTAGTGAAGTTTATAAACTTCTTGAAATGGAATTCACATAACAAAATTACGTAAAGTAACTTTGCATCAAATTCTTTGGAATTAGTTTTGAACTACTTGTCCTTTTAGCTAATTTATTTTAGGTAAGTTAGCTAAAGTACCTTAAGTTTAGAAAAATGTCTAACTGTAAGGATAAAACTGAAAAATCTTGATTTAAAAATTAAGCAATGAATATAAAATTTTATAAATTAATGTATAAGTTCAGGCTGTGAAAGCATTTATAGAAAAATAGAGTGATTATTTTTTTATGCAAATGAATATAAAATTAGTTTATTGAATTATTTGAATGTATTAAAATATTAAATTATTTTTTAGAAAAGTCTGTGTTTCATGCTGTTTGATTGATAAAATAAACTTCCACTTATGACTTATGTTACTGATTTTATAGCAATAAGTGATAGAGTTCGAGATATTCTTCATCAAGGACAAGTTGATGTCCGTGTTCGCTATATGATTGAAGTATTCTTTGCAATTCAAAAGGATGGCTTTAAAGTAAATATATTTTCTTCTTTTCTTTCCTTTTGTTTTTCTTTGGAAGTGATAATTTTCAGTATTTTTATACATTATAAAAGCTTACCTTGCTTTATTTTTATCATTGTTATTATTATTTATATTATAACCATCTGAAGTTTTTGTATGAAGTTCCAAGCTAATGTAACAGGTTGGTTGGTTGGTTGGTAACGGAGGACGGGGATGTCTAACAGAGGTAAACAGGCATGTGTCCCGCACCCTCCACTAACCAGGAACCCTGAAGCCTCAAGAGGCCGCCTCGGGAGCTTTTTAGGATGTTAACAAGAGCATTTGCATGGCCATACAAGGGCAGATTGCATTCATTTTACCGTTTTGACATTTGTTGTTGCAATTTGCTATGGTAATTTTGCATATTCACAATAAAATTCAAATAAAAATACAAATTAAATATACAGATACAAAAATACAGTTACAAAATAATAGGATTAAAATACAGGCTCATAGGTTTAAAAAAAAAAAGTATTATACATATAGAGAAAAAGGCATATGTCCGTGGTTGTTATGCCATGTCTATTGAAGTACTAGGTCGGGAATGGGCCGTGTCCCGTAATATGAGCCGTAAGAGGAGCTATTGCAATGTTGCGTTCAGTGCTGACTTTCGGGAGGTAGCTGTATGTACGTCTTCCAGTTGTGCAGTGCGTCCAGTCTTCCTGCCAAAAATTTAGGCCTTGACCCCGTAATAGCCCTTTGAGGTAGGAAGGAGGGCTGGGATTGTGATTTTTTCAGCTTCTGGATCAGTGGCTGCTTGCTTGGCCAGGCTATCAGCTGCTTCATTCCCCTCATTTTCTGCATGTGCCTTGATCCATGTTAAGGAGAGATGTTTCTGCGGGTTGCGCTGTAAAAGTTGTTGTAATTTGATGATCAAGGGCGAGGTGTGGTTGTGATTATCTAGTGCTAGAAGTGTTGACATACTGTCAGTGAAAATTTTCGCCCGTTCTATATTATTATTGAAAATGTAATCTACCGCGGTTTATAATTGCCTTGCACCTCCGCCTGGAACACACTGTTGTTTAAGTCAAGGCGTCCTTTCCATACATGGATGATTCTTCCTTTGTCATAGTGTGCAAAGGCGCTGCCTACTCCATCTTCTTCTGCTTAGAGCCGTCGGTGTATATTTGCGTATCCCTTGAAACTCGCGTCATTGACAGTGGCTGTATCCGTGAGATGTTAATTCTTATTCCTGTGCCTTTACGTGCGGGATGAGTGTGAAGAGTGTTACCTGGGCTTTGAAATTGCAGAGGGCTGTATGTTATGTTGCCAAATGTTGCATCTTTGCGGAGGTATATGAGGGTGGTGTACACTGCCTCTTGTTCTGCCCGTATGTGGAGTGGAATGAGCCCTGCAAGGACTGTCGCTGAGCTGGTGGCTGTGGTGCGGTACGCTTTACAGAGATTCAGGGCGAATGGTCGTTGAAGAGATGTAAGATGTTTGATCTTTCGTCCTCCCATCGGTTGGGCCCATACGGCAGCAGCATACAAGACTATTTTTTCAGCTACCACATGGTAGAGGATCTTCTGAATATGATGATTCTGACCCCAGTTTTTACCTTGGAAGGCGCGCGCCTTTCTGGCTATAGCTGATGTTTTGTTTTTTAGTTCTTGGATGTGAGGGATCCAGGTTAGTTTTTTATCCCAGATTACACCTAGGTATTTTAGTGTTTGGACAATCTTTATGTTGGCTCCTTGTAGTTTGATGCAGGGGCGGCGCGTTGGATTCGTGCCTGCTTTGGGTATTATTATTGCTGATGACTTTGCGGTAGAGATTGTAAGCTTTAAGTTGCTGCAGATATTGGCGAGGAGGGAGCAGACTTCGGTGCCGTTTTTTCTCGAGCTCCGCACGAGTGCGACCTTTGACAAGAAGAGCTGCGTCGTCTGCGTAGGCGATGACACTTGTATGTCGTGGCCAGTTTGCATCCAGTACACAGCGTTGAATGTTAAATTCCAGAGAATCGGTCCAGCACAAGAGCCTTGGGGACATCCTCTTTCTTGCACTTTGAAGGTAGTGTCGTTGTTGATGGCTATGAGAAGACTACGATTCTCTAGATAACTACTAAAAACGCTGAAGAGGTTGGATGGACACTGTGCGTCTCGGAGGGCCTGTCTTATATCGCTGGCCACCAGAGTGTGTCAAACGCACTCTGGAGGTCAATGGATATGAAAGCTGTATGGAAACCTGTGGTGCTATTGCGTTGAATTGTTTCACGAATTTTGCAGAGGGCATGCGTAGTGGACAGACCAGTGCGAAAGCCATACTGCCTGGGGCTGAGATGATTGTTGCTATGGAGATGATATTTTAGTCTGTTAACAATTAATTTCTCGTAAATTTTGCCCAGGGTTGGCAAAAGGCATATCGGGCGAAAAGAGCGCGGATCTTGCGGGCTTTTATTCTTTTTGAGGAATAGGACAACATGTCCTTTCTTGAATGCCTGCGGGAATATTTGCTTGTCAAAAAGTTCATTAAAGAATTTGTAGAAGAAAGGAGGGGCGTGCTTTGTAGGCAACTTTGATGCTATAGTTCAGGCCGTCTGGACCGGGGGCTTTTTTCAGGGCTAGGTGTCGGAAAATTTGCTTGACTTCCTTGTCACTAAATGGTATATCATGTGGAGTCGGTGGGATGTTGGTATTCATGCGAACAATTTTCTGTGCTGGCGTATCTTCCTCCGCGTTGTCTGTGGGGAAGACTTCGTTGAGGATTGTGGTGGCTGTATTTTGTACTGGATTGTCGTTGCTTGTATTTGGTGGCTGCATGAAGATTTGAGCTGGCTGATATATTTCACTTGAGGCTAGCTTGTGGAGGATTCCATACGGATTGCTGTTTTTGGTGCAAAATTTCCTCCAACTGGTAATTTTGGCCGCTAGTATGTTGTTTTTGTAAAGAGCGTGCTCTTTGCGTAATGTCGCCAATAGTTGGATTTTCCTATCTTCATTGGTGGTGGTACGTATGCGGCGTCTGATAGCTCTGCATTTTTGCCGTTGTTGTCTGAGCTCTTTCGTCCACCATTTAACTCCTTATATTTTCTTTGCTGCGCGTGAGGGGAGTAGTTCACTACAGGCTGCTGTGGTTGGCAGTGGGAATAAAGGCAAAGCATGTTTTGCTTCCCTTAAATAAAGCTAAGACTAAACTAAATAAAATTCTTGCTTTATTCCGTAAATAAAATAAAAGAGCTAACACTGTAGCCTTTACATTTTAAAATCATTTGATTGAAAGCAAACTAGCATAATGCTAACTGATAATCACACAAGAGAACAAGAAACAAGAAGCATTCGCCGATACCGGCGTACATATATGTATACTCGGCCAACCCGCCAATCTTGACGTCATCGGCCAATCAGCGGCAACCACGTTAGCGTACCGCCGATTGACCTCCGATCAAAATTTGCATGTGGAAAACTAAGCCAACAACGGCCCTCTTTCCCCATGCAAAGACAAAAACAAAACTTTCACAGAAGTTCATAGTTCAATTCTATTATACGAAAACACTTATTGTCTTTAAACACTGAAAACATCTAAACAAAACTTTCTTAAATTAACAGCAGTCGCTGCTTTTGTAAATAAGTTGACAGTATTTAATTTACTGGTGATAAATTCAAGGTCAAACACTCCATCATTTACTAGTTTTCTAACAAAGTGATATTTTACGTCTATGTGCTTAGTTCGGCGATTTTCTATTGGCGATCTAGAAAAATCAATGGCAGGCTTGTTATCACAAAATAATTTACACGCTCTTAAATTAAACTTTAAAATTTCATCTTGTAAGACATTTTTCGTCCACATTAATTCCTTCGCTGCTTCAGATAAAGCGATATACTCCGCTTCCATGGTTGATAAACTTACACATTTTTGTTTAAACAGTTTTCCAGATTACCGGTACTTCATCTAATATAATATAAAATCCTCCCATGGACACGCGGTCATCTCTATTACTTGCATATTCAGCATCTGAATAACAATATAAATTTAGATTTTTTAATCTTCGATAAGTTTAACTTATATAATTTAGTACTATTGAGATAACCAAGCAATTTCAACAATGCTTTCCAATGCCTAATTCCAGGATTCTCCTGAAATTGTGATAAGATATTCACTGCATATGTAATATCAGGCCTTGTCCTGTTAGCTATAAAAACTAAACATCCTAACAGATTTCTAAAGGGTAATGTATGCATTTCTGCAACTTCTGCACTTGTAGATGGACAATCTAATTTTGTAAGAATAGTGCCCTTAGCTATGGGAAGTAAAGTTATTGGTATCTGGAAATGTTTAAATTTTTCAAAAATTTCTTCGATATATTTTTGCTGATGTATAAAAACCCCATTCTCATTCTCTAAGAATTCAATTCCAAGTAATGTTTTAGTTTTGCCTAATACTTTAAGATCAAAAATCTTACTCAGCTGTGAAATTACTTTATCTATACTATATTGATCTTTACAAAAAAATCACAATATCATCTACATATAACAAGAGAATTACATTTGAACTCTTTAAACACAATTACACCATTGTATTTTCTTAAAATGGTAGATTTTCTAAAGTACTTTCAAATTCACCAAAACCATTCACAGCCGCTTTGATGTAGACCATAAATGGCCTTGTGTAATAAACACACTTATTTTCTCTTCGATAAATTCCTCTGGTTGGGTCATATATATTTTCTTCTCATTAGGTTTGCATATAAATGGCGTTCTTTACATCTAACTGACATTTAGTCCCATCCATATAAACATATCAGGTAGTGAAAAATATTCTTATGATTGAAAAAATTTACTACAGGACTGTAAACGTCATCAAAATCTTCACCTCTTTTCTGCCTGAATCCCTGTGCTACTAAACGTGCTTTGTATCTAACCACTTGATTCTTTTCATTTCTTTTTAGCATATTGAAACCATTCACAGCCGCTTTGATGTAGACCATAAATGGCCTTGTGTAATAAACACACTTTATTTTTCTCTTCGATAAATTC